AGTTTATATAAATGGTTTGCTATTTTGAAAAGAAAGGCTCCATACTTCAGAATATAAAACATAGCCATATGTTCAAAATGTTGTCATTGTCCCAGAAAAAGTGGTTTTCATGATCAAAGAATAGTTTATCTTCAGAAACTTAGTTCTTTCTGATTATTTTTAAATCTGTATAACTAATCCATGTGAAATTACATCACATTTTTATATTTTACTGTGATTTTCATCATTTTCTGTAAATAAATGAAATAGCAGTTAAATTCAAGTTTTCCTTAATACCTTTGTGTCCAGCTACATTCTTTTCAGATTTTATCCTTGCCAGATACACTGTTTTGGAAGACATGTTATCAACATTTGTTGCCTAAGGCTGAGAAGAAGCTAGCTGCTGTGTCGAACTCATTGAGCATGTACTGCTGACCTCTAACTTTGAGATCTGTGCTGAGGCCTTTCAGTAATCAGTAACTTACAGAAAAAAGGAAGGGGCTGAGAAGTTTGAAATTTACTCTTGATTTGGAGAAATAGCGTGCCTGTTGGATTAATAGAAATTGTTATAAGAGGGGGAAGAAGAGTCTGAATACAAGAAGAAAGGCAAGGTTCTTTCTTTGTATATAAAAGAGAAAAGAGCGGGAAAGAAGAAATACAGGAAAATATTTTAGGGGATAGGAAAAATTGCCATCATTTAGTGTCAAATAAGTAAAAAAGTTTCTAAAACTCCAAAGAAGAGAGACAACTCATGGTTTGAATTCAGCTTTCATGCTAGGCGTAACCAAATAAACTAAGGGAGAATAACCTAAATAAGAGTAGGAGTTCTGCTGTTAGGCAAATCTGAGTTGAATCCTGATCTAAGTCACTTCAAACTGAGGGGTTTTCATCTATTTACTTAAAATCACTTGGGGTTTTTGTTCGTACTCTGTATAATCGGGATAAAAATAGTTGAGAGGATTAAATGAGATAATGTTTTTAAAGAACTTGCTAAGTACTTAATAAATGTAAATTTTTTTTCATTTAGAATGTCTCGTTCTGGGACCAGCAGTTGGTGTAATGGCTATGTCACTGAACTCCCATGTAGTTGACCACGATTCAAGTCCCAGACCTGGAGGCTTAAACTCAGGCCGGGCACGTGTGTGTGCATGCCCAAGATCCCAAGAGGAGAAGTGATTACGGCATGGCCACCCCCCCTGGGGATTGATTTCTTCCTTTCTGTCTGTCTGTCTCTTTCTTTCTGGAGAGTGCACACACCCTATAGCAAAACCCTCTCCTAAAAAACCCCACAAAACAACTATCTACACCTATCTGTCATCTATCTATATTTTCTATCATCTATCATCTATCTATATTTGTCCTCTATCTCTATAACTGTCTATCACTATCATTTATCTTTCTATATCTATCCCTCTATTTATATCTATTCCTCTGTCTATATCTATCTATCATCTATCTGTCTATCCACCATCTATTTCTTTCTATCTATCTATCATCTATCATCTATCTATCATCTACCTGATTAAAAAAAAATAGATGTCTCCTTCTAAATGTGTAATACCATGATGGTGACAAAGGCCTCCATTGGAAGGGTTTCCTGTTTACCCTGGCGTGGATTGTGGTGGTTGTAGCTACTGATGTGCTAATACTAAGATAACTTACAGTAGAAGATTTTATGACATTTTACTTACTGAACTATACTTTCCTAACTAAAATATAGGTAGTAGCCCTGATGGATGGTGTTCTTATTTAAGTTTTATCTTACCTGTTTCAGACATAGAAGATAATTAGTTTTAAAGATTATTCAACATTCAAAAAAGCAGAATTGTAAGATTCCTTCGAAGGTGTATATGAGTAAAAATCAATATGAATTATTTGTAGGAGCTTTAGGTTTTTGAAATTGGACATAGTGATGACCATTTAGCATTCAACAGTTAGTTATTTTCCCAAGGGATTGAGACTGAGTTTGGGGTACTTAACCCACACCAGCCAGTTTGCTTCATTCTCTTATAATTGTAGACATTCCCCTTAATTCCAGTGTGTAGTTTTGTATATGAATACCATTAGTCATAAGGAAGATTGAAACATGGTAACTATCATGACATTGTACAAAAAATAATGTATATTTTCTTTGTTGACAATAGCATTATCTCTTATAGAGAATGACACATTATTATTTTAACTAAAATTAATAGTGTTGAAGCTTTAAGTTGGATCATTTATCTGTTTGTATATGTTTTGACTTCCTGTAAGTGACTGCCAGATACTTTTTGGGTCATGCTGTCAGATTAGCCTAATTTTGCTCTTTTTTTTTTTTAATTAAAGAATTATTTATATAATTTCATTTAGCATCATTATTCTTCACTTTGGCCAGAGAAAGAGAAAGAGAGAGAAAGCAAGCTTCCAGGTCCAGAACTTGAACTATGGTCAACTGTGTAAGAGTCTACTACCTTAACATAGAAGGAATCTTTTTGTAGGGTATTTTTAGAAATGCTTAACTCATTTTTTCGATAAGGAAACAAATAACTTTTTCTTTTTATAGTCAGCTGTAATGGATTGATTTTTAGGGTGTGTAGAACAATGTTCAGAAGAATCCACAGATAATGCTAATAGTAAGATAGAGTTTAGAGCACATACTGCTTTATTATACAATATGGTATTAAATGTTATTTTGGCAATGTTTTATAGGAAGACTTAAAGGCAGGTAGTTGGTTT